GGGGCACACTTGATGGCAGGCACTTCCATTGTTTGTTTGGCTGTTGGGGTGCGCTCCTGCGGGAACAAGACGCCACCGCCGTCATGCCTCTGCTTCTCGTCACTGGGTGTTTGATTTGGATGTGTGTGTGGGTGGTTGTGGTGCGGCACTGAAGTGGCGGATTGAATGCTGCGTGGATGCCGCTCTGTACTGTCTGTTTCTCTCTGATATCTCTCTCTCTCTGTGTAGGAGCAGTGCTGACGGCGATGATGATGATGCGCTACGTGTTGTTTGGGTGTTTTCTTCTTGTGTGGTGTGGCTGTGGGTGTGCTGCGAATCAAGAGCAAAAGATTCCTTGCGAGAGTCAAGACGATACACACTGTTCGCCTTCCGGAGCTTCTTCGTCTGGTACGGTAGCGGGTACTGGAGGCGGCGGAGAAGATGGCCCTACTGCGCCGTGCAAGAAAGGTGCAAAAAAAGAAATGAAGTGCAATAAAGATGTGGGAAGTGGCCTTGCTGCTGAAACTGGGAGTGACAGTGCTCTGCATACGGAGACGTGCAAGCCGGACGAGGAGACTGTGGTTGAAGATTTGACTAAATGTAAGAATGCGGTTGATGGCGATCAGAAGGAGGATATTACTCCAAAGGACATTCTGAGCGTACCGAACAACGGTTCTTGCGACGTACCCGATAATAAGGACGCTTGCAAAACTTCTTCTGGCTTGAATGAACCGCTGGCTGAGCCGGAAGTTGACCTGCAAGAGACTATGGATCTGAGCAAGCAAGATCCGGTGAGTGTTGGACCTTGTGCAGATGGTGCGCCTGCGCCCTGCCCGAAGAATGCCCCAAAAGGACCTGGGGGTCCTGGTGCCGGCGGCAATACCCAGGATTCGTCAGCACCGCCTCGTTGCCAGTCTCCTCAAGTTTTATCGGATGACCGCCTGAAGTGTGTGGATGATGCTTCAGCTGCAAAAGCGGCCCCTTTTCCCCCTCCCCCTGCGCCTCCGCCACCGCCGCCGCCTGGGCAACCTCCGTCTCATCCTGAGACACAAGTGACTGGTGGTACGGAAGAAAACGGTAAAAAAGAGTTAGCGGAAATTTCGGTTGGCGGGAACGAACATGAGAAAGGACTCAACCGGGTTGATAAAAAGGACGGTAATAGTGGTCCTGGGGTGTTGCCAAAACACAGGGAGCAAGGAGGCCCGCGTGACAAGCAGATCGGCGAAGGTGATCAGGCAGCAGGCGTCGGTGAATCTTCCAATGTATCCACAGACGCTCACAGACCCGTCGGTGCAAAGAATGACACACCAATTTCTGGTCCAACACCACCTGCACCACCCGTACATGAGGCTGAGAGCCTTGCAGACGATAACCGCAACGGGGAGCCTGCTGAGAGTACTCCTCAGGCTGCAGTCGAACAAGGTGATGCCGTGCAATCGCAGACATCTCCTGCCTCTACTTCCACGAGTGCCACGGAAGCCACAGGCAGCAGCAGCCAGCCGACCGACAAGGGCCAAGACCCGAAGGCTACGGACAGCAGCAGCGGTCCTGTGTGGGTGCATGCACCTCCGCTGCTGCTGCCGCTATCTGTGATGTGGCTGGGTGGTCTGGCTGTGACTGCTGCGTGCTGAGCCCCGCCATTGGGGACGCGG